TTGAGACCAGAAAAAAGCACGAATGATGCTATTATACAAATGCTTGACCTCATATACACAGCTCTCGATAAAAATGAATATCCCCTGGGGCTCTTTATCGACCTAAGAAAAGCATTTGACACAGTTGACCACAACCTCTTGCACCTCAAACTGAATCATTACGGCATAATAGGACATTCTCTTGACTACCTAAAATCCTATCGTAATGACAGACACCAATATGTATATGCAAATGGAGTCAACTCCACTATCCAACCTGTAGCTGTAGGAGTACCCCAAGGTAGTGTCCTAGGCCCACTCCTCTTTCTCATCTACATCAATGATCTCCACAATGCATCCCAACTCCTTACACCAGTTCTATTTGCAGATGACACTACATATGTCTACTCCCATTCAGACCCAGCTGTGCTTGAAAACACTGTAAACAATGAACTGCTAAAGATAAATGCTTGGATGATGACCAACAAACTCACACTCAACACAGACAAAACATACTTCATGCTGTTTGGTAACAGAGCCTCAAATATTCAACTCAACATACTGTTAAATGATTCCCCTATATCAAGACACACAGAGGGCAAATTTCTAGGTCTTCTCCTTGACTGTAATCTTAAATTTCAGTCCTATACCCATCACATAGGCAAGAAAATTTTCCAAATCAGTAGGAATTCTTTCCAAGATACACTACTATGTACCACAAATGACTCTCCTTACCCTGTACCACTCTCTAATATGTCCTTACCTCACCTATGGTATCTGTGCCTGGAGCTCAACCACTGCCAACCACCTTAAACCCTTAATAATCCAACAAAAAGCTGCTGTGCAGGTAATAACCAGCTCCTGTGCTAGACAGCACACCCCACCACTTTTCAAAAGACTCAACTTGCTAAATATACAAGACATACACTCTTATTATTGTGCCTACTAGATATACAGAACTTTAAACTCCACTGTAAACCCTCCCCTAAAACTACTCCTCGACAGTTACAACAGAATGCACAGTCACAATACAAGGCATAAGGCACTTTTCAACATCCCTCAAGTAAGACTCTCACTATGCAAGAACGCTATGCACATAAAAGGTCCGAAGATCTGGAACTAACTACCAGAACAGGTCAAGGATCCCCAGACAACTTATAAATTTAGGACTTCGCTAAAAAAAATCATCTTATCTCACAATATTAACCTTTTCAGGGTCCAGAGGCCAAATTTCAAAGTGTGCACCAGGGTCCAAGAATTTTCAAAAAATAATTTCGTTATTTTTTCTTATGAAATGGTAGAGAATCTTTTTCTGAAGGTAATAAAACAAAAGTACGAAATTTGATGGAAAATCTGACGAAATTACGCTCTCGCGAATTTTGATGTGTTGGTTATATTTATGCATCGGCAATTTTGCCGACTTTGATTCCCATTTCAGGGCAATTGCAGTATTCCAGTCAACCAAATTCTTAGCTATTTCACTAGTATTACTTCTATTCTATCAATTAAGCACAAGAAATCACCAAGTCAACTGTATCAACAACAAAATAAAGCGAGTGGAAATTGGTAATTTGGCCAATTTAATGCAAAGTTCAAAATATTCCAATTTCAAAATAGGGTCCAGGATAAACAATGCAGGCATTCCTGGCACTAAACTAACATTTCCTCTGTTCATTAGTTAAGTTTTCAGGCTTTACAAATGAATTCCATTTTGATTTTTTATTCACATAATGAATTTTTATTCAAACCAAAAAATAGAAGATTTACTGTTATGCAATATTGTAATAATTGTATAAATATCATCACCACATTTGTGAATGTATATTAGACCCACCAGCTGTCATGTATTAGACTTGTAAAGTCACTTGTTTACTCTTGAACATTGGCAAAAATTTAACATTTCTGCTAATTTGAGCTCAGTTTCAAGCTATTTCCAGTACTTAAACCAATCAAAATCATCTCTATTTCTGTAGTATATCTTCCATTCTATCAAATGAAACCAAGAAATTGTAAATACAACTATAGAAAACATACAAAAAAAAAACACTGCAAAGTCGATTTTAATAAAACATTACGGTCTCAGTTTTTTTTCCCTCATATATGCACTGTGTGCTGCAGGATTTGTTTTATGTCATGCACACATACCACATAGATATATTCTCTCATATCTAGGCCCAAATTTACTGCTCACAGCTTATCTGAGTGAGCTGAGCTCATGGCGTAGATCTACGGTTTGGACCCTGAATGTAAAGCCGTAGATCTACAGCACAGACCCTGAAAGGGTTAACCAAATCAACCAAACATCTACTGACTAGTTTTATCATGTGACCACCTGGCTTTTAATTCTGCCATTCCAGAAAATATCACCACCTGCACCATTCCTTGTAAATTAGATTTTGTACTAAGTATACGTAAGATTTATCAAGTCCAAATAAGATTGTAAAATAGTTAACCACTATTCTATGTTTAGTTTTAAGTATAATTACTATGTACTATTCTCTTATCTAGTTTAAATTAGTTACTATGTATTAGGATTAGTTTGCCTGAAATGCCTCGGCATGATAGTGGCTATCTTTGTACTTAGCAAATCAAAATTGTAATTACACATTGTAACCTTTACAAAGAAATAAACATTATTATTATTATTATTATTATTATTATAAATAAATAAAAAAAAGGGTATATCGGCAACACTTCTGCAAGCGACAGGACCCCATGTTGCTGTCAGGTGAGCGACAAGCACCGACTTTGCAGCCTTATATCTCCGTAAGTAATGACTCAAAAAAAATTTTTTTTTTTTACATTACTTTGTTAAAAAATGTCCTCCTCATTTAAAAAATAATACTCGGAGCGCTGGGCGAGAGAATGTAGATCTACGTTGGGACAGTTAAGGGGTTAAATGTCGTAGTATATTAAGTGGGTGGGGTGGGGTGGCCTGGCTGGCTGCCATACCTCCCACATCTGACTTACTATAAATACTACTCATCTCACCCTACATTATTATAATAAAAAAAAGAAGTGTTAAACCATTACCCTACATTAAAACTACAAATATTTTAATATAAGTATTGAGTGTACTATATTTGTATTTTACTTTTTTATTGTTTTTTAATGCCTAGTTCTATTGCTCACTTAATATGTTAGTGTAAACTTGTTATCTAGCATTTATATGCATTTATAAGTGAAAAAAAAGGAGTTCCACTTTACAGCGATTTCTGCTTTACGGTGGCAGCCTGGAGTCTAACCTCCCATATAAGTGGGGCCCTACTGTATGTTTACACTATCATATATAAGTGAACACCTAGGTAGTAGGCTGGTAGACAGCAACTGCCCATGGAGATACCACCGTCCTGCCAAGTTAGTGTGAAATGGAAGCCTGTAATTGTTTTACATGACAGTAGGCCTAGTGTCTTTCTTTTTCTATCTCATAAACATGCAAAATTTCAGGTACATCTTGCTCCTTCTATTTACACTTAGGTCACACTACACATGCATGTACAAGCATATATACACACACCCCTCTGGGTTTTCTTCTATTTTCTCATTAATTCTTGTTCTTGTTTATTTCCTCTTATCTCCATTGGAGAGTGGAACAGAATTCTTCCTCCGTAAGTCATGAGTGTTGTAAGAGGCAACTAAAATGCCGGGAGCAAGAGGCTAGTAACCTTCTCCTGTATAAATTTCTAAATTTAAAAAGAGAAACTTTCATTTTTCTTTACGGGCCACCCTGCCTCGGTGGGATACGGCAGGTTTGAAAGAAAGAAGAAACATGCAAAATTTCAGGTACGTCTTGCTCCTTCTATTTACACCTAGGTCACACTACACTTGCATTTACAAGCATATATACACACACCCCTCTGGGTTTTCTTCTATTTTATTGCTAATCCTTGTTCTTGTTTATTTCTGCTTATCTCCATGGGGAAGTGGAACAGAATTCTTTCTCTATAAACCATGCATGTCATAAGAGGCAACCAAAATGCTGGGAGGAAGGAGCTAATAACCCCTTCTCCTGTATATATTACTAAATTTAAAAGGAGTAACTTTCATTTTTCCTTCTGGGCAACCCTGCCTCGATGGGATATGGCCAGTTTGTTGAAAGAAGATATAAGTGAACTCTCCATGGGGAAGTGGAAAAGAACTCTTCCTCCATAAGCCATGCATGTCTTAAAGAGGCAACAAAAATGCCAGAAGCAAGGGGCTAGTAACCCCTTCCCTCTTCTCCTGTATAAATAATTAAATTTAAAAAGAAAAAACTCATTTTTCTCTTTTAGGTCACCCCGCTTCAGTGGGATGCAGCCAGTTTCTTGAAAGAAGATATACAGGTGAACAACAGAGCTACACCTAAAAAAAAAGGTAGTAAAATGCATATATATGTATTGTACTATAATGGAGTGGAAAGTTTGTGTGTATTAAGAGCTACAACTAAGCAATTTATAAGAGCCCCTGTTACCAGAGGTGTTGAGGGTTGATACAGCTCAGTACAACCTAATCTGTGGTGGCTACTATCAACCCTGAGCAGAAAAATTTTTCATGGCAGTGCAGCAGTCTAAATCATACCTTCACTTCACTTTCTAGTTTCATTAATTTTTCACAGCATTATCAATAGCCAACATATTGAAAATTTGCATAAATACAGCTAGAATGGGTACATGAAATAGGCATAGGGATGTGTGATAGTAATTATGGGTTACAGCCTTCATGCACAGCCTCCCAGTTCATTTTTAAAAACTTTACAACAATTAGGAATTGGATACAACATTTCAATCGCAATTTATTGAAACCACGATCCCTGGACATACGATATATGAGATTCTACTGTACTTTAAATTCATTAATACCTAAGACAGGCTTTCACATGCAACCACAAGAAGTGCTTTTGGTGTACTTTTTTCAAAGTTTTCTGCTATCAGATTCCCCAATCAAGGAAACAAAAAGTTTGATGCCCATACCAATATAGGGATTTTGTGCTCATACTCCTTCCAGTCTAGTTTATGGTATCATGGCCCCTTTTCATTCACCCATGCAAATTCAAAATACTTATAATAACCAATGGTGGACAAGAAACAAATGTTTAGTTCTGTAATGGCTTCACTCCCAATTTTAATGTGGACAGTATGTCTATACACACACAAATTAAGGTTATGAAGTTTAAAATATCAAAATGCCAGTTCACAATTTAAAAGGACATGACATTTGATTGTTTTTTAATCACACAGTTAGGTTTTGAGTACAGAAGACACTACTTTTAACATCCTTATCAATCAAACTTTTAAAATATCACTTCCAAATCTTTATGTAAATCTGAAGTTATTGCAGTTAGGATAAATTGTTTAATAATATTTAATGAAATATACAAAAACTTGTAAAATTTTGTATCAAAATACATGCAAATACTGGTCAGTTATGTAACTGGTCACACTTCATAGTGGGTTGCAAAGGGGAAATATAAGTGGTAATCACTTTCATACACTTGCACACACATTCTCTCTTCAATACAAGGAAGTGGATTGAGAAAATTTACAGTCCAGTAGTACAGTACCTTCGCTGTCCTTGTTCTTACTTAGTTATAAAGAATTTTCAACAAAACATAATTGAAGTACAAGAGGAGCACAGAAATTTGAACAACATATTTTGTGTGTCTATAAATCCTTTTAGCTAATTTGTCAGTATAAATTTTTTATTAATAACTTGTCAGAGAAAGGGTAATCAAAATCAACTTCTACAATCAAAGCCTATGTATTGCCAAGTCCTGACTGACAAACAAAGCACCAATTGTTGTTTGGTACGCAACTTCCAACAACCTCTTGCAATGAAGACCACTCGTGCATGTGTGAATGTTTGACCTTTATAGTAAGAAAAATAAATAAAATAAAATTTCTTTTATAAAAAACATTTAAAAAATTGAGTGTGAGAAATGATTCTCCACACCTCCTGTTAAATCTGTTTCCACCCTTGCTTGGGAGTGTCATCCAGTGTGCCTGCTATCAGTTAGAAGTTTTTAAGCATCTACAAGGGATATAATTTTGGAGTAATAAAATTCATGATCCATAGGTAGTTTCATATAATAAACTTGGTCACAGATGCGGGTCTTTTCTCATATTTTCTCTAAGGTTTGTTGATCATTGTATAACAAATTATAATCATAAAAATTTTAAAAATTATCTTGCAATCAAAAAAAGTTTCATTTCATAATTACATCAAAAATTTTTTGAGAGATCTGCTTGGCAATTCCTTGTGATGATCACAAAATTTCAATTTCTCCAATGTTTCTTGTATATGCAGAGATTTTGGAATATCACATACTGTTGCAATTTAGCCTTTTCAGAAATAGTTGAAGAATGACAAAGCTTATCAAGACACACAAGGACATAATAGTAGTACAAGAACACAAGATCCCTTTTGATCTTTTTTTTTTTTTTTATTTCTTGCCAAAGAGATAGAATTTAAGTGAGACTAATACATCATGGATCATTAATTGTAACAGGGCAAGACTTAAAGCAATTCAGAATCAATGTATGACCAATGAAAGACAAAAGCTATATGAAAAATCAAAGGAGAATAGCTGCTCCTAACAAAAGAAAATAAATGCTTTTCAGGAAACTAAATTGCCTTTCTTGCTTAAACCAGGCATAACAAGCATCAAATTCCTTCAAACCCCATCAAAACCGGGCAAAAATTCCCAATATCAATGTGAAAAAAAAAAATCACTTTCACAGCTGAACTCCACTCACACAGTGAGCCAACACCCTGGACTGTTTATACTTCTTCAATTCCATCACCATGATACGACAAAAAATGGCAGTGAATTGGCTTGAAAACACAAACAATGAAGGCTTCTATTCATCACTGTTTGGTAACACAGATTGAAGTATCCTACTCGGGGATGGTCAACATGGAGCAACAGACATGGACACACAAATACGTACGGAAATGCTTGCCTGCATCAGTAGCTTGAGGCTCCCATTCATTCTCCACCTAGTAAATAACCCTTGGCTATAACAGTCACCCACTTTCCTACTCCATTTACCTTAATCCTGCTACAGTAATGGTGCTAGCTCTAGATGTAAACAGTTCCTGCCTCCACCTGCAGCCTTTCTTCTACTAGCATGTTAAACGCATAGGAGCATGAAGTTACTGTATGCTCAAGCACGTTCCATGCCGAGTTTACATTCCACACCTTTCTATTTTCCCACAATCTGCCAATAAACGTCCAACCACTTTTTTTTCTACAAATTTCCAGTATAGAAAATCCCATTACATACAGCACACCAAAAACTGATAAGAAATTTTGCCTTAGTCACAAAAGTGGCTATGCCAAGCTCACACTACCCATGTGGGTGTGCTTGGTAGAAGGGCGCCTACAAGCCTGGCCAGGACACAGATGCTGGCTAACAGCTATACTTGCCTCATGTCAGCACACAATGTCACCCATTGTTGATTTTTTCCACTAAAATATAACAACAAATTCACATATATATGTATTTTCATACATAATTATGTTTCCTTCATACACAAATAATTTAAAAAATAAACATTTCCAATTTTCAAAGAATTTTTTTTTATAAAACTGCTAGATGTCAGTTGCTCTTATCTTGCATTCAACTGCAGATGAGCAACATGGAGGGAAACAGGCACAATACTCAATAAGGAAAACCAATACGGCATTACAAATTAATGAAAATTTTAAATCTAATATTAACATAAAAACAATTATACTCCTGCCATAAGCAGAGATCCAATGCCATCAGCCAGCACTGGGCCACCGAGACAAGCCAGAGCCATTGTGCACTCCTTAGATTGGTCTGCACTACAGTTTATGTCTTGCCCTCCTTACTTCTACACACTTTGTATAAAAAAAAAAACCAATGCTTCTGAGTACTCTAATACACAAACCTATCAACTACACATCCTTTATCCAACAAAAATCGTGAAATACAGATAACATGATACCTCTGGAAACAAAAAAAATAAGCGCGCGCACACACACACAAGACTGCAGACCAGTCTAGGATGCTCATGAAAAATCAGCAAAAAAGAAATGTATGGGGGGCAAAATGCCCAGGACTGATTGTATATACAGGTGGAACAGAAACATGGTGGTGAGGATGAGTGATCAGGCCTGGTCTGGGGATCACACATTATTACCAGCTCAATACACATGGCCAAAACCCTACCAAACAGTTTTTACAGTTTTATGTAGAAAGTGTTCATTCATATAAATAACATGATTAGTTACATAAATCTTTTTCACAAAAAAACTCTCAGTATCAATTATAGATGTATGTAAACTCCCATTTCTTCCTACTCTGTTACTATTAAAGCTGTGTCAATCATTCTTGCATGTTTTCCTGTCGTGCTTCTTCCAAATACACCAGCAAATAATACCTTACCACGGTCCACAAGATAAGCCATGATATGAAGGATGAGGAAGTTTGAATTTGTTGTCCAACACTTTATGTTTCATGAAGCGTATGGTCCACCACTGACATCCCAAACTCTGCACTTAGAAGAAGCATGACATGATTTTACAGCAAGATAATTCACATACTAATGAAGTCTCTATCTATAGCAAATCATTTTACAAAGTAAGTAAACAAAGTGTGATGTGTCCTGACTTGAGGTTTCAGTCTTCGTAGATGGGGAAAGTCGGTGAATTTTGATGGTGCCTAGCCACAGCCTCGAGCACTGTCCTACCTGACCTATTGGTCCACTGGCAATACCAGCAGAAGCTAACAGTGAAGGCATCACAAACCCTATCAATGGCCAGCACCATTCCTGACCAAAACAGTCAAGTCTTTATGTTGTTCATGTTACTTCTTTCCAAAAGCTTGTCAATTATTTTTCAGATTTATAAGGAACAAGAGGACAGGTCCTGAGGCTCTGCTGATGGCACTGTTGGCGAGTTGGGTGGGAACCCATGGAGGCTAGAGGGCAATCCATCAAGGCAGGCAGGCAACAGGGGGACAGGACGGTACTCTGCCACTTAACTTGGGCACCATGATGCTATTACACGTGTATGATGTACAGTCTATTCCTGGCTTCACGTATCTGCCGACAATGTTGATCTGACTTGCTGACGGCACAAACCGTACTGTCCCCACTTCTTGAACTAGCTCCATGGTTGTTGCTCTTGCTCCTGCTGGTACATCTGCTGCTAAGTTGGGTAGTGGCAATGAAAGACAACATGACAACTGGTGGCAGTGGCTGGTGAGGTCAGTCCGCATCGGGACGGCGGCACACAACTGCTGCCCACCACCACACACCCATCATAACCTCCTTACACTCATGAGTTTATGTGATTCCTGTTAGTTCCATATTGCTGTCATCTTGATCTGCTGGTATAAACCATACCTTGCAAGTAGTCATGCAGAGGGTGCATGGTAGGTGTGTGGACTGGGCAGCAGTGCACCACTCCAAGGCTCAACTCCACCACACTGCTTAATGGGCACTGGCCTAGTATGGCCTCTCACAACAGTAACAATAGTTCAATTATTTACCACAATTTTCTGAACAATTACTGTTTATGTTATCTGCTGTGAGCCATGTCTATGTTGAGTCCTGTAGAATTTCTCTATACTGGGTTCACCAAGCTTTCTATTCAACGATTCACTCACAGTTGTGTGATATATATCACAGCGAGTTCTTTAAATGCTACACACACAGGCAATCGGTTATTGTAATTCCCACATCAGCAAGTTACAATGCTGCCAATGACAGTACGTCTTGTAGAATTATATTTATCACTTGTCTGTCTATAATTCCATTTTCTATAGCTCTGGAAGTCTACCAAGGGCATATTTCCTTTCCTTCTCCAAACAGAAGCAACAGATTTCTTGTTCTCACTGGTATCTGTAATTGGTTCATAAGCTATACAATAAACGACTCTGGTTATAGACTTCTCTTTACACTTTATACAAAAGTAGACTGGGAGTAAATTGGCAGTTTGTGGTGGGAATGGCAGCCAACACATGTGCTGGAGTAACAACGGGGTCCTCCTGAGGGTAGGTGGCAACAGTATGATCTCTCAGCACTAGTGTGACCACTTAATGACTGCCACAACACGGCACTATCCCCACACCTGCCTGTCACCAGTCAATCTTTTAGCATACCTAACACTGCCACACAACTCATTTATTACTCTCACTAGGGCCCTTCTCTCCACCATCCTTCATTTTGTCTACATAATCAGCAAATATGTCTCGAAACCGTGACCATGATTTTTCTGGGATGGTAATGGCTGTCCTGAAGTTAGTCTTAACCTGAAATGTAAAAGAAATAATTAGTTACAAAGCTATCCATTCAAAAGAACAGTAATACTACAATAACTACATATTGTTTGATCACATTAACAAAAATTGATGGAGAGATCACCAATCTGCTAAATACACTCGAGTTTTCTCCTATTTTCTTAATAGTTCTTGTTCTTATTTATTTCCTTTTATCTTCATGGGGAAGTGGAAAAGAATCTTTCCTCCATAAGACATGTGTCGTACGAGGCAACTAAAATGTCGGAAGCAAGGATCTAGTAATCCCTTTTGTATATATTACTAAATGTAAAAAGAAGAAAAACTCTGTAAAGTTCTTTTTTGGCTTGCCCTACCTCAGTGGGAGATGGGTGGGGTGTTAAAAAAAAAAAAAAAAAAAACCAGTCTATCCTAGATAGTATATTTTGCTATATAAATTTATTTGTTAAAAAAATCTGTAAATAAATTCCTCCATCCAGACTTGCTCTTTAACTATCCCACATTCCTGTTGTAGTGGTCACTGTGCGACCCCTACAGATTGAGCACTTCCCCTAAATAAAATAAAAACAATTCCTCTATGCCCATTCACATCCTATTCTCCACTCACTCTCACCCACTCTAAAGACACACACACCTCTTCACATACTGTTTTTCACCCATACATATCTACAAATATTTAAATCCAAGAAAGTTTTTGAAGTAATTCCTCATGAAAGACTAATCTGAAAAACTACAAAGCACAGAAAGAATAAATGTCAAACTACTACAGTTGGTGAAATTTATCACTTGAAAGGAAAATGCAAATGGTGATAACAAGAAAAGCATCCTTTCTATGGAAATGGCAGCAGCAGTGTCACAAGGATCAGCATTACACCTTACGGTTCTAATTCATATAAACATTTCACTATTGCGACAACCAAAATTAAGAGTGTTGATAGTGTCATAATTTTTAAACGAAGTTTCTTCTGAAATGGTAAAGAATCTTTTCTTCTGAAGGTGACAACACCAAAAATGCAAAATCTGATGGAAACCTTATGAAGTTACGCTGGTGCAAAGTTGGCAGTCTGGGGATAATTTACGTACCAATAATTTTGTCCATTTTGAGCCTTATTTTAGACGAGTTCCATTGCTCAAACTGACCCAATTCCTACCCATTCAACTATCAGAACTAATAACTGCCCAGAAGTTGGTAATTTGGCCAATTTTACACATAATTTAACAAATTCCAATTTAGAAACAGAGTCCAAATTAAACACTGCAGGCATTCCAGCCACTAAAGCAACCAACCTTTCCTCTGTCCACTAATCACATTCCACTGCTTCTCTAATATATCACTTAGCCTCCATTTTGAATTCATCACACAAAAAATTGAAGTTTTACCCTATTTCCCTCTTTTAGAGTGCCAAATAACAGCAAACTGTTACTGCCTTGTCCTTTTAATGCACAAGAATTCTGAGTGATATATGACCATAAGCTTGCATTTGAAATGACCTGTTGCATCAGCATACTTTGCAAACTGAAACAATCCTTAGATGCCTCGAATCCTTGTGCAAATTTCTCTAGCTTGTTAATACAAGTTCTAGATAGCATTTTTTTCTTTTTAACCCTTTGACTGTTTACGCCGTATAAATACGTCTTACGCGCCACTGTTTCTGATGTATATATACTCAATAATTCTAGCGGCTTCAAATCAAGCGTGAGAAAGCTGGTAGGCCCAAATGTGAGAGAATGGGTCTGTGTGGTCAGTGTGCACCACATTAAAAAAATCCTGAAGCACACAGTGCGTAATGAGAAAAAAAAAAACTATGATCGTTTTTTTGGATTAAAACGCCGACTTTGAGGTGCATTTTCGTATAGTATTTATCATTGTATTCGCGTTTTCATGGTCTTAGGTGATAAAATGGAAAACATATTACAGAAATAGAGATGATTTTCATTACTTTGACGATGAAAACGACCTTGAAACTGAGCTCAAAGTAGCGGAAATGTTCGATTTTTACCAATGTTCAGGAGTAAACAAATCACACCACACGTCCAATACACATCAACTGGGGAGTCTAATATTCTTTCACTAGTGCACTGATATTATTTATACCATTTTTATAATAATGCAGTAGTCTGCATAACAGTAAATTTTGTATTTTTTTGTTTTACCTGGAGTTTACCTGGAGAGAGTTCCGGGGGTCAACGCCCCCGCGGCCCGGTCTGTGACCAGGGGCCTAGAGATGTGACTAATGAACAGAGGATATGTTATTTTAGTGCCAAGAATATCTACCTTGTTTATTCTGGACCCTATTTTGAAATTGGCATCTTTTTTATTTTGCATGAAATTGGCCAAATTGCCAATTTCTGACCACCATATTGGGTAGTCCAAATTGGTAAATGGGCAGTTTCTTGTACTCAGCTGATAGATAAAATGGAGTTCTAAAGAAATAGCTATGAGTTTGGTCAACTGGAACAACGGAATTGGCTGAAAATAGGGCTCAAAGTCGGCAAAATCGCCGATACGCATATGTCGCCGAGACCGCTAACTTCGCAGGAGCATAATTCCATGAGTTTTCAACCAAATTTCGAACTTTTGGTGTCATTACCATCGGGAAAAGATTCTCTATCATTTCATAGGATTTTTTTTTTTTTTTAAATTTATCGACATAGAATGACAAGTTTCAGAAAGGGGCCTGAAACAGTCAAAGTGTTAAATAATCCCTGTAGTATCAGCATTAAATATTTGCTCAGGGGTGCAGCTATTCTCAGAAATAATTTCCACCAACTTAGCACAAAAGTTTCCCATGGAAGCTTGATCAGCATATGCATATTTCCCACAGTAAGCTATGTATTATGCACCAGACTGTGTATTTTGATGCAGTTAAACCAAGCAGAACTACACACACACATTTTTGTGAACATTTTCCTTCTTTCTCTCAATTTAATAGTGGGATAGGGCTTTCTTCTTTGTCTGGGCACACTAATTGGGGCACCTTTCTTTGTTTTATGTTCCATCCACATATTCAGTATATAACTTTTGTCTTATTTACCTGCACTGACTGCTTTCTCATTTTTGTAGGTCATGATCCAGATTACTCATTGCACAAGAACTTATCTTCTTCTCATTGTTTCTAACTGAACTGTTGAACTTCCAAAGCCAAAGATGTGTGTACCTCCACCACACAGGTAGCAGCTTTAAGCAAACTTTCATTTTTCAACACGTCAGCCGTTTCCCAATGAGGTAGGGCGACCCATAAAAAAAAGAAAGACACTTTCACCATCATTTACACATAATCATTGTCTTTGCAGAGGCACCCAGATATGACAGTTTAGCTGTCACTCCAAACAGCCAATATCTCAAACCCCTCCTCTAAAGTGCAGGCATTTTACTTCTACCTCCAGGACCCAAGTCCAGCTAACTGGTTTCCCTGAATCCCTTCACAAAATATTACCCTGCTCTCATTCCAACAGCTCATCAGGTCCCAAAATCCATTCCTCTCCATTCACTCCTATCTAACATACTTACACATGCCTGCTGCATGTCCCAACCCTTTGTACATAAAACCTCTTTTACCCCCTCCCTCTATCCTTTCCTAGGATGACCCCTATCCCTCCTCTACAAATTTATACACCTTCCAAGTCATCCTATTTTGCTCCATCCTCTCTAAATGACCAAACCACCTCAATAACCCCTCTTCAGCTCTCTGAATGATACTTTTAGTAACTCCACATCACCTCCTAATTTCCACACTATGAATTCTCTGCATAACATTTACACCTGCTTGTTGCAACATTCACCACCCATGCTTCACACCCATATAAGAATGTTGGTACCACTATACTCTCATACATTCCCCTCTATGCTTCCATGGATAACATTCTGTCTCCACAGACTCCTCAGTGCTCCACTCACCGTATTCCCCTTCATCAATTCTATGATTTACCTCATCTTTCATAGACCCATCTGCTGACAAGTCCACTCCCAAATATCTGAATACATTCACTTCCTCCATACTCCCTCCCTCCAATCTGATAAAGTCTTAAATTACCTAAATTTTTTGTTACCCTCATCACCTTACTCTTTCCAACTCATTCACCAACCTCTGCAACTTCTCTTAGAATCTCCCAAACGCACAGACTAATCAGTAAAAAGTAACTGTGACAAATGTCACTCTGTATTGGATTCTTTATCTCTTAAATCACACACCTCCTGCCAACACCTGAGCATTCACTTTTCTTACAACTAAATCTCTAAATATACTGAACCACCATGGTGACATCACATATCCCTGTCTAAGGCCTACTTTTACTGGAAAATAATCTCCCTCTCTCCTACATACTCTAATCTGAGCCTCCAAGGATCAACACTCCAGTGGCCCACTCCTTGACCTGGTCTCCCAGTGGATCAGAGTCTGATCAACCAAGCTGTTACTCCTGGTTGCATGCAATCCAATGTATGAAACACAGCCCAACTAATCAGGCATTGACTTTAGGTATCTGTCCAGTTTCCTCTTAAATGATCGCGGGGATAGAACCCGCGATCAGAGAGTCAAAAAACTCCTGACCGTCACGTTAGCCATTGGACCAGCTAGCCACAATAAGATTCGTCCAACTAGGTATATTTCTACACCATAGGAAGGTTAGCATAGGCACCACTGTGACCACAAATGTTTGCAATTGTGTCATTACGATTTCGTGAGTCATGGTAGAAAGCTGCTGAATCATCTTGGGCCCAGGCACTTATTGCATTTTCTTTTAGTGTACACATGGCACCCCTGTTTTTCACTGGGGTATGTTGCACTGTCTGCCTATTCTTTGGTTTCTGCAGGGAGTGATTCCTGTGTACAGATTTGGGACCAGTCCCTCCAGGATTTCCTAGGTGTAGATTATGATATATCTTGCCACTAATAATGGGAGTACAGGCCAAGGGACTTCAAATGTTCCCAGTAATTAAGGTGCTTGACTGAACTTATATGTGCAGTGAAGGTTCTCTGTACATTCTTTAGAGGTGCGATTTCACTTGCCCTGAA